AAAGTTGTGTGCATAATGTGATGCTTTTACCATGTCTGTGAAGGTTTGCCAGCTGGCGTAAGGAAGGATATCCAATATCGGCCAATACTCTGATTGTTGACCCAAGCTTCGCCTTTTCCCATGGTGGCAAGATTTAGTGCAACCGGATCAGGTCCATCAGGTGCATCAAATTTGGTCTTTTAAGATGTTAGCCATAAAAGAAAAGAAAAAAAAAAAACATTTTTTTTTATTAAAGACATACAAAATTGGTTTTATAATTAGGAAAACATGTGTTTTATATTTTTATCCTCACCTTATACCATTTGAGTGGCCGAGAATAATTGCTTAATTTGCTCCAGCATGTATGTTTTGATCCTTCTTCTGTGTAAATCTGTGACTTCTCTCCCAGTAGCCCAACCTTGTGGGAAAAAATAAATAAATAAATATAGGAAAATGATACAAATTGTAAACCTATAGGCAGAAAGAAGTATTATTATTATTATTATTATTATTCTCGAATAAACTTCATTCATATTTACCAAAATCTAAATCATAAATTTGATGTTTCTATTTAAGTGTACCTGATAACCCCATTGAAAGTTAGCCCTCATATTTTCGACAACTCGATTACTTTGAATGCTGACAGATTCCAATCCTGCAGCTCTTCTCTCCATGTATGCACCAGAATCCTAGAATTTGCCGGTTAAAGATTAAATGGAACTAAAAAAGGATAGATTAGGACTAGCAATAAAACGAAAATGGTGATAAAATTATCCAAGCAAGTTGAAAGGCTTTATAACCGGCAAAGAAGGAAGGTAGCAGCACAATTACCGGTAGGCCAACCATAATGCTTAGCAAAGAGATGTTGTTAATTCCACTTTTTAGATCAATTTTGGTCTCGAAAGTGAAATCTGTATTTCTGAAAAATCCATGTCCAGCACCTAACGATGTGGATCAAAGTCAAATATCTATAATTTTGACAAACCATGATAAGAAAAATGCTTCATTGTAACTTTTCCTCATTTAGGGGAGAAAGAAAATAACTTTAGAATTGGGCAACAAATCCATAATCAAAGAAAGAACTTGAAGTTGACTGATAATTGATAAAACCATAATATGTTAAATTTTTTTGACTCTGTATTAAAAGACTCCAAGTGTTATCTTACCAACAAGCTCTCCATTGACAAATGCACGCAAAGCATGCCCACGAGACTTTACCGTAATCACCTGTTCTGAGTCCTCTGTTTGCTCATAGCTGCAATCGATATGTTTCAGTTAATAGCTGAAAACATCTATAAATGAAAAATACGAGTATAATAATGGATATATATATATTTTTTTATCGGATTTTTTTTTTATCTGTATTATAGTTTGAAGCTTGATGACTTGATAAACAGGATCAAAAGACCCGAATTTCTGGATATCTACTTTACCTTGTAGTGTACCATAGATAATCAGACGTATCTTTTGTAGTACTCATCTGTTCTAGCAAAAAATCCGACCTCATAGAGGTATCCTCGAATATTGGAATAATTTCATTATATTCTTCCCATTTTTCAGCTGAGTCCAACTTCACAGCTGGTTGCCTTGTTCTTGTATTACTTTGTGTGCTTACCTGTTTGAGATTCTCAACGATATAAAATATGTTTTAATTGTTCATTTGCTTATATAACTAGGCCAAACCTCATGGATTATTTTAACCAATTATGAATTTTATACAAACAATTAATAAACTTTCAGCCACTTGCCTTGGCTGTGTTAAACACCACACTTTTGCAATCTGGCAAAATGCTAATCGACTTTCGAGGGAGTTGATACATTTGGTTTTGAAATTGCACGTTTGCAATTCTTCTGCCACCGTCCGTATTTACCAGAAATGCCACACATTCTCCTTTATCTCCATAATATACATATGCCTGGTTTGAG